AAATTTCATTTCCTCCTAATTTTAAAAGAAATTTTATTCTTTTGATCAAAAATGAATTGAAATTTCTCAAAACTTATTGCACATTATTCGATTTTGTCGTATTGAATAGTTTTTTTAAAATTAAATTTTTATAAATTTTAGGTCAAACTACGGATTTTAAAATGAAATAAAATGAGTAATTGAAGAAATAATTAATGATCGAAAAGAAATAGTAATAAATTGATTGCTTAAATAAGTAATATAGCAATATGATGACAAAGTTTTAATGTCACATTGTCACATATGTCAACAAAATGTACAGTTAGAGAAAAGTGACGATGGTGACAAGTGACCGATAAAAAAAAAAAGCATTTCATCCAATTATTATGCAAAAAAGTGAGTGCAATAATTTGACACATGTAAGTTCACTATTGAATGACCTTATTTCACCTTTCTTCTCATAATTTATTTTTTTTATTTTTTAAATTTAAACATTTCACTTATTTTAAAATGCACAGAAAAATTCGGATAAGTGAACAGAAAGATAAAAGTATAATGTAAATAGATTAGATTAAACAGGTAGATAGATGGGTAAATAGATCAATAGAAGGTAGATAGATGAGCTGATTGATTGATTGATTGACCGATTGATCGATTGATTGATTGAATATTGCGGAATGAATTAGTAAGAATTTATAACAAATTTCAAATTATCATTAAGAATAAAAAAATTTGTGAAAAAAAAGAAAAAAAAAAGTTCAAATGTTATCATTGAAATTAGCAAAATTAATTTTAGCTTAACTAGCAATTTCATTCTATCAGAATTAAAGGATTAAATAAAAAAATTTTAATTCAATCTTGAAAATTTAAAAATCAAATATAGTTGAATAAAAATGCAAAAAAAAAAAAAAATGAAAATGAAAAAAATTTTTCCTGAAATTAAAATTTGACCTAAATTTCAATGTATATTATTCAACTAAAATTTAAGAAATTTAACTTTCAATCTTTTTTTAATTTTTAAAAAAATAAAATAATTTTTAATTAATAAATTTATTACTTAAATATTTTGCTCAAATCAATCATAAATAGTATATAAAGTATTAAAATTGTTGAATGAAATAATTTGAGAACAATTGAAATAATGCAATATTCAATTTAATCCATCTATCAATGACATAATTCTCGATGACATTTTATTAGGCGGAACCAGTTGAATGAATTGTGAACTAAAAATTGATTTCTCAATGCAATCAAAAAATTTAAAAAAAAAAAAAAAAAATTCAATCTTTTATATTACTAAGAATATCTCTGAGAAAATCAAAGAAAAAAATTGTTTTTTCTTTTTTTCTTTAAACAAATATTCTATTATTTATGTTTTTGTGGTAATTTTGAAATGAAATAAAAAATTTTTAGACAAAATGAAAATAAAAAGCAAAAAAAAGAAAAACAAATTATCAATTATTTTTATTATGAAAAAGATTAATGTAATATATAATTTTAATGAAATTAATTAGCATCAATAAATAAAAAATTGAATGAAAGTGTTAATCTCAATTAAAAAAAAAAATTTAAAAAAAACAAAAAACTAGGATCATTTGAAACAATGAAATTAAATTTTTCAATCAAATTTTAAAGTGGTAAAAAAATAAATTTTTAAATTTGTACGAATATCAATGAGTTTCATATTTAAACGAATGAAATAAGCATGAAATAAAAGCTCAAATTGACATTGAAATTTTTGAATTAATATAGAAAAATTAGAATTAAAACTAAATTTGGAAATTTTTTATAAAAAAAAAAAAAAAAAACATACATTAAATTTCAACATTTAACGAAAATTTGTGTAAATAATATGATTTCCAAATATAATTTAACAAAATGTTTGCATTTCTTCTTTGCCTTTTTTATGTCAAATAATTTTTTCCTTTTTTATAAATAATATTAATTATTCAATGATTGTTAATTTTTAATAAAAATTCTCTTTAATTCCTTTTAATCAAATTTTTAAAATTCTTTTTATCAAATTTTTTCAAATCTTTTAAATCGAAATTCTTTTTTAAATCAAAATTTAATTTAAAAAGGCCAATTCTGATAATGATTGATAAGAAATAAATTTGATTAACTGATGGTCGAAAAATATATTTATATATTTATATTAAATTGAAAAGAAATTTAACAAAAAAAGAAATTTTCAATAAAATGAAAACTAATTGAAAATCATAGAATTATTTCAATTTCATTCGTTTTTTTATCAAACAGATAACAAAATAAGGAAAATAACGATGTGATAACGATTAATTAGGCAGTAAACATTGATAGTTTAAAGTGTATTTTAATTGAATTAATGAAAATATGAATTTAAATATTGCTTATAATATTGATGAATGAATAAAAATTATTTCCTTTTTAAATTGTTGGTAATTAAAAAATTATAATTTAAATGTTTAAACTACATTCATTAAAAAATTATATTCATAAATTATAATTAAACTATATTTTTGAAAATATTTAAATTATAATTTGCAATTTAATCAAATTTTAAAAAAAATTATGTTAATTAAAGACTTGAATTTTCTTGTAAACAAAAATATTTTTGGTTATTTCTTGAATTAAAATTCATAATAAAAAAAAAAGAATTAGAAAAATAAACTTCAGGAATATATTTGGATTATAATAAATAATTGAAAACATCAAAGCAACAGCTAATGACTATAGAAATGAAGAAAAAATATATTAATTCATTTTTTTTAAAAAAAAAAAAAATAGAAAAAAATAACTTAAAAAACTGAAAAACAAATATTCATTAGTGAAATGAAGTAATAAAATAAAAAGTAATAATTTTTATTTTAATATATTTATTAAATTACCTTAGAGATTTTCTCTAAGGTAATTAACAGTAATGCAGTAATATAAGTTAGTTTTAAGTAGATAATCAAAAAAAAAGTTTATAAGTTATGCATTTCCAATTCGATGACATATAAATGAAAAATATGAGAAAGTGTCCCAAATTTTATCAACGATTCGAATTACAAATGATTTTAAAACCAATCTGATAAAATGAAAACTAACATTTAAAATATGAAAAAATTTTTCATCAATTATTCATTGTGAAAAGTAGGAATTTATATAATTACAAATTAAAAATGAAAAAAAAAAATTGAAAACACATTTAAACTATTATTTCTTACTTTTATTATTTTTTTTAAAAAAAAAAAGAAAAAAAGGATTTTTATTGATTGCTCTTATATTTCTTTTTTTTTTGAAAAAAAAATTAAAAACTTTTCTTTTTTAAAAAAAGTTGAAACATGGAAAGAAAAAAGAAGAAATAAATTAACAAATAAGAAATATAAGAATTAATATTGTTTAAAATAAAACTTAATGTAGAAGTAAAAATTTTTATTGATTGTAAAAATTATAAATAAACTAAAATCAGAATTCCTATACTCAAATTTTATATATTTCAAAGACAATTAAATCACAATACGCTTACAAAATAAAATTACAATTTGCTCTCAAAATTATTTTGATACAAAACAAAAACAAAACAAAAAAAGAAATTTCAATCTCTTTTCAATATATGGCGAATTTGTGTTTGTTACGAAAAAAAAAAAAATTTTACAATTATATTTCTTAATTTTTTTTTTTTTTTTTTTTTGGGTCAAATAAATCATTTTCTAATTAATGTCCTGAATCGGATACAGTTCAATCATTCTTTAGATCAATTGATCCGTTTTATCCTTTCTCTTTTTGCATTCGTTTCTTATTTGTAAAATTGGATGAGAATGATAAAATTGATATCAATAATTAATAATTTGATAAATTTATACTATTTTGATAAAATATAGACATTACTTAATTCTGCTATTTATTACAAATCATTCATCAAATCTCTGATTTTTTCTTTTTCTCTCCATTTTTTAACTACAACAATAACAACATGATAATTTACATAGCAAATAAAATATTATTTGAGGTAGGAAAGTAAGTAGTACTTTAGATAAAGGAGTAATATTATGATAATATAGAAATAATACATTTTTGGTAAAAAAGTAAATATTATTTCAAACAAAAAGTTAAATATTATTTTGAGTTAAAAAGTTACATATCACTTCAGATAAAAGAATCAATGAAATATGATTTTAAATAAAAGAATAAACAAATTATCGTATTCATATTTCAAAATGAAATGGTATATTTGTGGTTCGATGATATTCAAAGGTAATTTCTTGATAAAGTATAAAGTTGATAAAGTAAAGTAAAGTATAATTTATTACTTTATTTGTTTTTGATAAAGTATAGCAATTAAGAAATTACCTAAACAATAAAGTAAGGAAGTGTGGAAGAAGTTAAAATGATTGGAATATAAGTAAAGAAGAAGAACGAATTATCAGTTATACTTATCATATATCTAATTATCACTGATAATGTCCTAAACAACTATTATTCAATTAAATTTTTAATTTAGAATTAAAAGTTGTAATTAATGAATATTTCGAACCAAAATTTAAAAATGTTATTGTTTTGGTATTAATTTTTTTTTTTTTTTTGATTAGACAAAAAATACCTGCAAAAAATACCATTAGGTGTTAGTATTTACAGCTATGATAAATAATACTTTTGTTACTGATAAAAGAAATTATCATTATATTTATCAGTTTTTTCTTTTAAATAATGTTAACATTTTTATCAGGTTGCTGATCATATGTATCAGCTATTTTTAAATGATAACAACGTTTTTATCAGTTCACTGATAAATTACTGATCGTTTGATTAGCAAATGATAATGAATGCATAAATAGCATTCAATCCTCTTAAACATTTGACTATAAATAGTTTAACCATTTGCAGAATAATATTTGAATAAATTAACTAAAAATAATTATTGATTAATTTTAATTTTATTAAATTTATAAGTATGTTAAAATTTTCAAAATGATTATTCATTGTAACATTTCATTTCCCAGCTTATCGTCTGCATTGTTAGCTTCAACTGATTGATCATAGGAAATTGATAGTAAACGATGGGTAATCCACCAGCACAAGAAGATACCTGGGCATTTGGCCCAATTGGATCACCGTTTCCGGATAATCCGGTTCATGCATTAGATCAACCAAATCAATATGTTGCATTATGGTACAAACACGGAAAACCGATTCATGGTCGAGCATGGAATAACGGCGGAGTACTCGAATGCTCATTTCCGTATAAAAAAGCTGAACTAACTGGTGCTAAAGATTTAGGAGGACAAATTCAAGTTTGATTTCAAATTTAAATTCAAATTCAAAATTTGAATTACCATAAATTAATGGAATAAAAAAAATGCATTTTCATAGTAAATATATGCTAGAAATTAATTTATAAAATTTTTTTATTGTTTGATATATGCAATAGCGATAAGTAATAAAATTCAACCGTTTTTTTTTTTTTTTTTTTTCACCTATTTTAGTTAAATAAATTAGCTAAGAGAAAAATTTGAATTTTTTGTTAAACTTCCATCTTCCTTGTTATTCCAATATTTTCTATATTATTAATTTGTCTGGATTTGGAAAATTATTAAAATTTCTAATTGTAATTCTTTTCCTCAATTTTTTTTCTGACTTTTTAATCAACAAGAAATGTTTCTCATTTAAATCATCCTTTAAATTGATCAAATTTTTAGAAATTTTTATTTCATTTTACAACTAAAACTACAAATGCAAATGCAACTCATTTTGTATCTTACTACTAAAATAAATAACCTTTCAATGATCTTTTTAATATTCTTTAAAATAATTTAATTAGTATTATATCATATATTTTATGAAAATTTTATCAAAATTAAAATTTAATGAAATAAAAAAAAACTAGCCATTATAGGATTAACAAATAAAAATTTTAGATATTACAATACAAAGGTGATCACAATTCACTTGGATTTTGGTACGAATGGATTAAATACAAAGATCGTTTCGAGAAAACCGAAGAGCGACAAAAGTTGAAATGTGGCGATTCATTGCCAATCTTCTGGAAAAATCGTAAAGATGGTCCACTTATGGGTTATTTAGATGCAACCGAAATGGTTGGTTAATCCGGAACCGAATGAATTGAGTCAAATTAAATACTTATCTTTTTTGTTAACAAATTACAAATATTTCCTTGCAAATCTTTCATCATTTAACAACAAATTACATCATTTCAAAATTCATAAAATATAAAGTTTTTTTTTTTTTTTCTCATCACTATCATTTAATGATAATTGATAAGTTATACTATCTGTTTAAGCTGTTATCCTAATTTTGCTTATCAAATAACAATATATATCAGGTAAAGTAAGCAGTAATAATTTCTTATTATGTATCAAAGTAACATAGAATGGATAATAAAAGTAGTTAATTGTTTCTAAATGAGTGTAAGATAAGATAATTAATTGCAGATGTTTAAATTTTAACATTCAAATTTCATTTATAAGAATTATTTTTTTTTTTTGATTTCAAAAATAAAATTTTAATTGATAGGCACATTTTTCGCATGATGGTAAGACGGAAATATTACAAGGAACTGTACTTGATGATATGTATATTATTGTACGTAACATCAAAGGTGGACCACCTGGTTGTGAATGCAAGAAATGTTATATACCACCACCGCCACCACCAAAACCAGAAGAACCACCACCACCACCACCTGGACCACCGCCACCAAGAATTATGCGTGATGAATGGATGGATATACGTATGGGTGATCCATGGCCAAAACGAAAATTGGTGCAAGCACTTGGAAAAACATTAGATACGGTACCAAAAGAAGATCCAAATCAGTATGTAGCACTATGGTACCAACAAGGTGAACCAATTATGGGTAGAATATGGAAAGATAGCAATGGAAAAGTTTGTTTTCTTTTTTAAAAAAAAAAAGACAAGCTTGGAAATCATAAAGAAATCATCAAAATTTATTTGAAAACACTGAAATTGAAACTAAGCTTGTCTTAGATTAAATTACCATAAAAGTATGAGATGATGAATTATTAATTTCAAACTATTTTGATCAATTTTTGATTTTTTGATTTCAAATGTGAAGTGAGATTTAAAATCTAAACGTCTTCCTTCACCTACCTAATAATTTGTAAATTAATCAAAAATTAAAACTAAATTACAGGTTGCAGCAGCATTTGGCTGGAATGGACATGAATATCGTGATAAAGTTGGATCCTTGCAAGTATTAGTTGAGCTTGGACATCACGTGCGTGGCTACGACTATTCTTGGCAACCATTCTCGGTATGCGGTACATTCGGTGAAAAAGAATGGCTTCCAGTTTATGTCGATTATAAAGGGATCATTTCACCTTGCGTCATCACATGGGAAGGAAAACAAATCCTTGGAAAGGTGAAATTTAAATTTTATTCAAATTTAAAAGTATGATCAAATTTAAACTCAATCGAAATTGATTAGGCACAGCATTGATTAAGAGATGATTAAAAGCTTATCGGATTGATCAGAATTAAAATATATCCTAACTGATTGATATTTGTAAAGATAAAGAATGAAAAGAGGAGATTCACAGTGTGAGATCTATCAATTTGAGTTGCAAAAAAAAATCAAAAATATGTTTCTTCATAAATAATAAAATGACCTAGATCCCAGAAATAGCAAAAAAAAAAAAAAAAAAAAAAAAAAAAAAAAAAGTAGGACGGTAGAAGAGACGGATTTAAGGCAATTAAATAAGTCAAGGAAGAAAATGAATCATACAGATTAACTTATCTAGTTACTATCGTTTAAAATTTTTCTATGTTACAATTTAAAGCTTTTTTTCATTGAATAATTAATAATTAGACTAGTGGAATTTTACTAATTTTAATATATGCTTTGAACTAATGCTTAGATGATAAATGGTAGAAGCGAGAAATATGTATACCTCATCTTTCATCTATTATCATACGTATAAAATGTATCTAACATTGATAATTTATAGATTAGTTATTTCAAATCATCAATTAATTACAGGTTGATATTCGTAACGAAAGAGCAAGTGCAGCTTTCTCAGGCAAAGAAAATATCCTAGTTGGTCCAAAGGTACAACCACAATTGGTATTATGTCGCAAAGCAAGACCAGGATATCATTTCGAATAATTCTAATCCAAGTGGAAATAAAATTCATAATGATTTTGGGAAATATATATATCTGAATGAAATAAATTTGGAATAATGAGATAAAATGGAATAAAATTATATACATACATAGCGTAAAGTAGATAAGATTTATAATACCTGAATTGTTTATGCTTATAACAGTATGAAAACGATTCCAGAAAGACTCAATGAGCGACGACAACTAATTCCGGAAATTTAGTAGGTGAATAGAGTTGCTTTACCGCCGCTTACTACATCACTCATTACTGAAATTACCCATTGTTTTATCTCAAATTATGTTCATATTAAAGTTTTACATTTCTTTAAATCTCTTTTTAGCTTACATCCAATCCAAGCAATCCTCGTTTGGCTACTTTTTTGCCCGTAATTCGGCAAGCTTTTACTAATACATCCCTCAAACTATTACCCTCATTGAGGAAATGTATACAACATGCGATAAAACAGTCCCCAGCCCCAAGGGTATCAATAGCTGGTCCAGCTTCCATATAAGCATCAACTGATATAAGCTCTCCATTCGTAGTATGTCGAGCAGCTGCACCCTGAAGTAAACTACCAGTAGAAGTAAACTAGTAGTGTTGACTTATGAAAACAAAATTATTAATGAACTTGATAATAACAAGCACTTTACATCCTAAAATATTCACACATATTTGAAAATTTTAAAAAAACTCAAAGAAATGACATTAACTGACAAATTACTTAATGTGTTTACACAATAGCTATGAAAATTGTTTATAATTCGCAAGTAAAGCAAAAATAACAAAAGAAACAAATTTTTCATAAATTGAAACCTGTTCTGCCCAGGGGCAAATTACGATAGCATGTGATGCACCGTATTTTTGTTGTATACCAATTACAGCTTCTTCCTTATTCCGGAAACCTTTCTTCCTAAATGCATTTGGTTAATTATTTATGATAATGCAAAAGTATTAAAAGTTATCTGTTTACTTCGCTGTTTTCTTCAGTTAATGCTATTTCAATAAATGTCACTATACTCAAAAAATACAACCAGTTGTATATGTCGGAAAACCGAAATACTTATAATATGTCGAAACAATCGAAGTAATTTTGTATTAAATTTTGAATAAAATAAATATCTGTAGACTAAAGATTGTCTTATCTGAATATTTCAAGACAAATATAAAATTATTTCAGTTTCATACATCAAATGAGAAATAATTTATCCAAGACTTATTTTCCAACTATAGTTAAGCTTATGTGCATTGTGTAGAATTTTTTTTAAATTGAATGTATACATCGCCTTAGTACAATTCTCTTTCCTCACTTAGTTAATTTACCCAAAAGAATTGTAATAATGTACTTCGAACCAGGATCATTCATTTCCATGTATTTACTCAATTTACTTTTAACAATAGTAACGGTAAAGTGTGAACAGAATGACAGTTACAAATAAAAAATAATTCTCTTTCCTCACTTAGCAATTTAACCAAAAGGATTATAACGTTTGGTAGACTACTGATATCCCTTAGTGATATTTTTCTATTATTATTTCCTATTATTATATTTGGAGGATATTTACAATGTTAGTAGGATCAATAGGGATGGATTAGTTCTAATCAGGAAAAGTAAGGTTTTGTTTACTGATATGTTTATTGATTTCATCTAGGATTCTTAAAAGATCAGATCTCCCTTAAAGCATCTAAATTTTCTATTTAAGTCATCGGAAAGCAAAAATAGAATACTCTTCAGTGTTCTAGAATATATCTTTAGAATATATCATACTTAATATATTCTAAAAATGATATGAGGTACCATCCTGCACTATCTCAACTCTGTCAATGCTTTGAAACTACCACACTCATAATTATAGCACTGACAGATAAATTAAATGAAATGAACAACATAACATATTATTCTAATTTTTAACTTATTACTCCGATTCAATAATCCTGAATTTCAAATCGAGGGATGACTGGGCTGGTTTAATGAAATCATTTCCCAGTTAAGATATTTGAATGTTCCACATTTTCACAAATAAATCAAAGTGTTAAAGTAAAAAGATACCTTGCAAAATCTTTCGACACAAAGACAACATCTACAAGCGGTATAGCATTTTCAAGAGTTTCAAAATCTCGAACCTTCTCACATTCCAACGATAATTTTGGCTTTTCATTATTTTGTCTCGACACGAGAACATACTTTATCATTGTGATAAGATTTTCAAAATTTCTTCCTGGAAAAAAGAGAAAAGTATGGTGAATAATACAAAGAGATAAAAGAACCATTTCTACAAAAAAAATACTTGCATCATAGTTTAAAAAAAAAAAAAAAAAAAAACTATGAACCTTCAAAATGTATCCAAGAAAAAATGCTAATATCTGGAAAAGCAAGTTGAAATTCTTCGCAATTTGGTTCTTGCAACTGTCCCCTGCAGTGATATTAAGAAACATATATGCCTTAGATGTCTGAAAAGCAAAAAATGCTAGCCTTAGCTATCAATAAGTAGTATTTGAATGAAAAGTATATTCTTAAATTTTTTTTAAAAAAAAAAAAAAAACATGAATCTAAATGGATCAATCTCAAAATTGTTACTTCCCTTTTTTATTGGTATATATATATATATAACATGAGAATACCTGTAATGTAGAATTGTTCTGGAGCCGGTCCTTTCATTAACAATAACTGTTGATGTCGGCAAATCACCATTCAAACGATGAACACAATGTTTCGATGAAATACCAACTTTGGTTAATAATCTAAAATCTTCCAAAATTAGTCAAATAATTGGACAAATTAACAAAACACTTTAATAACTAATATGCTTACGAAGTAATAATAGAGCAATTGATTGGAATTGCTGAAAATAGTATCGAATGAGAATTGAGCTGATTTAAAACGACGACATTATTTGTAGCATTGCCTCCAGCTGACCAAATCTACAACAATTAGATTTGCTCATTTTCTTTATTGTAATTAATTTCAGTAGAATAGAAATAAGTTGCAGTAAGTAATTTAAATTATGCAAATAATTTATATGAATTTTATTTTAGGATTAGAAAAATAAAGATTTAAGAATAGCTTAGAACATGAAGTATTTATACTTTATGATATTTAAAAAAGCTAGGCTAGCAAATGAGAAATTTGTTAGATGAATTGAATTAATTCTCTTTTTTCTAATAGCATACTATATAATGATAAAAAAGAAAAAAATCTTGAGTTCATTAAGAAGAGTAAACGATTGTATCAAATTGTTTATCAATGTTTAGAAACATTAAAATGAGTGCTTTTTTTTTTTTTTTTTTTTTGCCGAGATGAATCAATACTCTAAATGTTGTCATCGTAACAAACTCAAATTATGACAAACAAAAAAAAATGTATATACCTTTTCATTCTTTTTTTACCTGTTCTAATACTCGAGAATCACTGTCCTCAATTGGAAAGCTTTCGGCATAATTGATGATATCAACACAAGTTAATCCAACGATAAGGATTTGTTTATCCATAGCAAAATTTCACATAAAGGAATCAATTTGATAAACAAAGAAAAAGAAAACATCTGACTGAAAAAAAAAAATTAATGTTTTATAAATTAAATTTCAAAAAAAACCTTTTAGCAATTGCTACTTTCTTCGCCATCAGAAAATTAGCATCAAAAACAATTTTTGAAAATAATATTCCACGTAAATTTTTCATCGAATTAAAAACAAAAACTTCCATCAATACTTGATATGAAAATAGTTGCATCCCAATATTAGTTTTTGTTCTTTTCTTTTTCCATAAAAATTCAAAAATAATAGTAATTTTAAAAACAATTATCATCAATCAATTATCATTAATTATTACTTTTCTTGTCTATCATTTCTTTTTCATTTATTATTATTTTATTATTATTATTATTTTATCATTTTTTTATGTCACAAAAAGTTTGAAAAATGTTTTCCAAACAAACTACAAAAACTTTTAATACCAATGCGCTTCGCTTCTATGTCTTCTGGAGCACCAAGTATAACAGGTAATATTCAATTACCAAAACCGCCGATCAAAATAGGCATCACTATAAAAAAAATCATTAAAACCCCATGCATAGTTAAAACAGAATTATATACTTGACCACTACCAAAAAACAAATAACCACCAGGCCTAGAGAGCTCAAAACGAATAATTATAGATAATAAAGATCCACCTAAGCCTGCCCAGTAACCTAAAACAATATAATAAGTACCAATAGTCTTATGATTAACAGTATTAATAATCCTCTGCTTTAATACATTACCAAAAGTCATACCACAAAAAATATTCATATTAAATAACAAAAATAAACCAAAAAAAATTATAAACCATAAAAATTAAAGGTAAACAAACAACAGCCCGGCTATCACAAACATACCTAACTTTATTGCCTACCATAAAACAAACCATAACATAAATAGAATAATAAAACGAAACTAAATAATAAATAAAAAGAAAAAAAACACTAAAATAAAAAACAGAACTAAACCAATTTAATATTAAATACTCAGAAAATGAAATGAAAGAATCTAATATTTATATAAAAAAAAGAAAGAATGAAATATATAAAATGAAAGAAAGAATCTAATATTTATTTATAAAAATAATGAAAGAATCTAATATTTATTTATAAAAAAAATGAAAGAATCTAATATTTATTTATAAAAATAATGAAAGAATGAAATTATTATAAAATGAAAAGAAAGAATCTAATATTTATTTATAAAAATAATGAAAGAATCTAATATTTATTTATAAAAATAATGAAAGAATGAAATATATAAAATGAAAAGAAAGAATCTAATATTTATTTATAAAATAATGAAAGAATCTAATATTTATTTATAAAAATAATGAAAGAATGAAATATTATAAAATGAAAAGAAAGAATCTAATATTTATTTATAAAAATAATATGAAAGAATCTAATATTTATTTATAAAAATAATGAAAGAATGAAATATATAAAATGAAAAGATCTAATATTTATTTATAAAAAATAATGAAAGAATCTAATATTTATTTATAAAAATAATGAAAGAATCTAATATTTATTTATAAAAATAATGAAAGAATGAAATATATAAAAATGAAAAGAAAGAATCTAATATTTATTTATAAAAATAATGAAAGAATCTAATATTTATTTATAAAAATAATGAAAGAATGAAATATATAAAATGAAAAGAAAGAATCTAAAATATTTTATTTATAAAAAATAATGAAAGAATCTAATATTTATTTATAAAAATAATGAAAATCTAATATTTATTTATAAAAATAATGAAAGAATGAAATATATAAAATGAAAAGAAAGAATCTAATATTTATTTATAAAAATAATGAAAGAATCTAATATTTATTTATAAAAATAATAAAAAGAATCTAATATTTATTTATAAAATAATGAAAGAATCTAATATTTATTATAAAAATAATAAGAATCTAATATTTATTTATAAAAATAAATGAAAGAATCTAATATTTATTTATAAAAATAATGAAAGAATCCTAATATTATTTATAAAAATAATGAAAGAATCTAAATATTTATTAATAAAAAATAATAAAGAATCTAATATTTATTTATAAAAATAATGAAAAGAATTCTAATATTTATTTATAAAAATAATGAAAGAATCTAATATTATTTATAAAAATAATGAAGAATCTAATATTTATTTATAAAAATAATAAAAGAATCTAATATTTATTTATAAAAATAATGAAAGAATCTAATATTTATTAAAAATAATGAAAGAATCTAATATTATTTATAAAAATAATGAAAGAATGAAATATATAAATGAAAAGAAAAGAATCTATATTTATTTATAAAATAATGAAAGAATCTAATATTTATTTATAAAAATAATGAAGAATCTAATATTTATTTTATAAAAATAATGAAAGAATCTAATATTTATTTATAAAAATAAATGAAAGAATCTAATATTTATTTATTAAAAATAATGAAAGAATAAATTATATAAAATGAAAAGAAAGAATTCTAATATTTATTTATAAAATAATGAAAGAATCTAATATTTATTTATAAAATAATGAAAGAATCTAATATTTATTTATAAAATAATGAAAGAATGAATATTATTATAAAAAAAAAAGAAAGAATCTAATATTTTATTTATAAAAATAATGAAAGAATCTAATAATTTATTTATAAAAATAATGAAAGAATCTAATATTTATTATAAAAATAATGAAAGAATCTAAATATTTATTATAAAAATAATGAAAGAATCTAATATTTATTTATAAAATAATGAAAGTAATATTTATTATAATAATAATGAAAGAATGAAATATATAAATGAAAGAAAGAATCTATATTTATTTATAAAAATAATGAAAGAATCTAATATTTATTTATAAAAATAATGAAAGAATCTAATATTTTATTTATAAAATATTTTAATGATAGTATCAGTGTATTATTAATTTGCCTAAGTTAATTTAAATTATATTATGTTTTGCTGATAACAAATTTGATAATAAATCGGTTTGCTAATATGGGCACACTCATATTTTTTAAGAAAATTCTGTAAGAAATTGTAAATTTTTATAAAAAAGCATATTTGCATAATTTTTTTCAATGCTTTACTTTCCAATGAATAACAAAAAAAAAGATGATAAATGTTGAAAATTGAAATGTTTATTAATCAATACTTCGACAATTTTCAAATAGCTTTATTTATAAAAATAATGAAAGAATGAAATATATAAAATGGAAAGAATAATATATAAATAAAAGAAAGAATCTAATATTTATTTATAAAAATAATGAAAGATCTAATTTATAAAATAATGAAAGAATCTAATATTTATTTATAATAATAATGAAAGAATGAAATATAAAATGAAAAGAATCTAATATTTATTTATAATAATAATGAAAGAATCTATATTTATTTATAAAAATAAATGAAAGAATCTAATATTTTATATATAATGAAAGAATGAAATATATAAAATGAAAGAATCTAATATTTATTATAATAATGAAAGAATCTAATATTTATTTATAAAAATAATGAAAGAATCTAATATTTATTTATAAAATAATGAAGAATCTAATATTTATTTATAAAAAATAATGAAAGAATCTAATATTTATTTATAATAATAATGAAAGAATGAAATATATAAAATGAAAAATAAAGAAAGAATCTAATATTTATTTATAATAAATAATGAAAGAATCTAATATTTATTTTATAAAAATAATGAAAGAATCTAATATTTATTTATAAAAATAATAAAGAATCTAATATTTATTTATAAAAATAATGAAAGAATCTAATATTTATTTATAAAAATAATAAAAGAATCTAATATTTATTTATAAAATAATGAAAGAATCTAATATTTATTTATAAAAATAATAAAATATAATTATAATATTTATAAAAATAAATGAAAGAATCTAATATTTATTTAATAAAAATAATGAAAAGAATCTAATATTTATTTATAAAAATAATGAAAGAATCTAATATTTATTTATAAAAATAATGAAAGAATCTAATATTTATTTATAAAAATAATAAAAGAATCTAATATATAAAATGAAAAGAAAGAATCTAATATTTATTTATAAAAATAATGAAAGAATCTAATATTTATTTATAAAAATAATAAAAGAATCTAATATTTATTTATAAAAATAATGAAAGAATCTAATATTTATTTATAAAAATAATAAAAGAATCTAATACATAAAATGAAAAGAAAGAATCTAATATTTCATTATGAACAATGTTCCATTCAATTTTTTGTGCGAAATTCAAAATTCTTTGTTAGTTAAATAGACAATCGGTTTCAAAAAAAAATTATTCATAGTGAAGTAACAGACTAAAATAATTTTAATTAGAATGAAAAGAAAAAAAAAAGAAGAAGATTCTTATGACAAAATAAGCTAAACTCATAAACTAAATTCATATGACAAAATAGAATATTTAAATGTAAGATTAAATGAAATTAGATTATTAATCATATATTACATTAATGAAATTAGATTATTAATCATATATTACATTAATGAAATTAGATTATTAATCATATATTACATTAATGAAATTAGATTATTAATCATATATTACATTAATGAAATTAGATTATTAATCATATATTACATTAATGAAATAAAAATATTAATCAGATATTACATTAATGAAATTAGATTATTAATCATATATTACATTAATGAAATTAGATTATTAATCATATATTACATTAATGAAATTAGATTATTAATCATATATTACATTAAAAAAATATTAATCAGATATTACATTAATGAAATTAGATTATTAATCATATATTACATTAATGAAATAAAAATATTAATCAGATATTACATTAATGAAATTAGATTATTAATAAGATATTACATTAATGAAATTAAAATATTAATCAGATATTAAATTAATGAAATTAGATTATTAATCAGATATTACATTAATGAAATAAAATTATTAATCAGATATTACATTAAATATACTAGCCACGTGGAAAAAAATGACAATCATGCCATACCAAGTAAAGCAACATTACAGCATATTTAAAGCACAAAAAATTATTCATCTCACCAAAAGCAATTTTTACAATGACAAGTCGAGCCAAATCATGGGCAGTTACAATATTCGATACGGAATACTTCAACTCGGAACTACTACAAAGTATAGACAACGGTTTAGAATACGCCATTATCGGAAAAGAAACTTAGGTTTGTCCCACAACAAACCGACAACACTTCCAATGCTACTTCAAATTCAATTCTCCTATACGTTTCAACACCTTAATAAGTAAGGTACCGCGCGTGAGCCACGTGGAAAAAGCAAAAGAAAGTCCATATCAAAACTTTCAATACTGCAGCAAAGAAACAATAAACGAAGAAATAGGAACCCGACCTCAACCACCTTCAAGGAAACGAAAAGCAACGGAAGAACAATCACAACTGCTAAAAAAATACTGTGACAACGAAATCACAATAACCGAAATGACCCAATACGACAACATATTCGTTATGAGAAACCTACCAAGAATTCAACAACTGAAATCATATATAACCAAAGACAGGAGCAGCACGACAGATTTATTTCTAATAATAGGACACCCAGGAATAGGCAAAACAACATTCGCAATAACCCTATCTAAAAATTATTACATCAAAACAGCAAACACAGAGAAATGGTGGGACGGTTATGAACAACAAGAATTAGTTATTTTAGACGATTTCTACGGATGGCTACAGCCTACAGAAATATTTAATTTAGCAGACTCCAAATCACACTTAGTTCAAATTAAAGGTGGATTGGTAAAATTCACAAGCAAAGCTATAGTAATAACAAGCAACAAAATACCTGAGCAATGGTGGAAACGGCGAACAGTAATGAAATACGACATGTGCGCATTTGACAGAAGAGTCAACATGACGTGGAAAAAAATAGCTCAACAGAAGAGTCAACATGACGTGGAAAAAATTAGCTCAACAGAAGAGTCACCATGACGTGGAAAAAATTAGCTCAACAGAAGAGTCACCATGACGTGGAAAAAATTAGCTCAACAGAAGAGTCACCATGACGTGGAAAAAATTAGCTCAACAGAAGAGTCACCATGACGTGGAAAAAATTAGCTCAACAGAAGAGTCATACTTCGGATATAATTTCAATTACAATTAAATTTATGTAACAAAAAATATTTGCTGTGTAAAATTATTTGAAAATAAGATAAATTTAATTCTCAATTTGCGAAGTTCATATTAAATGATTAAACAACCGATTGATTATTTCTTATCATAGTTAACATTTTAATTAAAAATAAAAAATGGAATAAAAAAAAAAAAAGAGAATTCTATGCAAATTTTTGAAAAAATGTATAAAAGTATCAAAACAAACAAATAATTATCATTGAATTATTTCTTTTTTTTTCTCTATAAACTTTTATTAAAACATTCATTAATAAACAATAAGTGATTTTATTTGAAAACGAATGATTTCATTTGTTGGTTGGCAGTATTTCATATTTGAACTAATTTTATTTATATTTATTTCTAATCCATTCTATGGTATGATTAATCTTAAAAACTTTGCAAATTAATTAATAGATTAGATTGAGAATTGATAAAAAAAATCTTAAAATTTGAATTTTCAAACAAACAAAAAAAAAAAAATAATTTAATTAATCAAAATGATTCCTTACTATCTCTTCTAAAATTTAAAATGCAAAATGAATCTGTTTAAATGTTTACGATTGTTTTATAGCTATTCAAATTATTCCTAGTAGCAATATGAAGTGAAAAAATGAGATGAAAAGTAGAAAATATTTAAATCACTACCTGATCCGGTATTTCGGATATTTCTTTACATAGTGAAGAAGTTGCATTTTGAAATTATTTGTATTACTTTATTGTTTATATCATATTAATCTTTCAAAACATTTACATTTTCAAGTTGATCTGCTTTAAAAGTTTATTTTCTGATCAATATTTTATTCAATTTTACTTGATTCTTTCAAATTTTTATTATCTTCTCGAAAAAAAAAAAAAAAAAAAAAAAAAAATTTTTTTTTTTTTTTTTTTTTTTTTTTTTTTTTGTTATTGCTGCTAAACAATTGGAAGGATAAATTAACTGTTAGAAAAAAAATAAACAACACATATAATGATGATGATGATAGCAATCATGATTATGATAATGATGATAACGATAAGTTCAAAGATAAAATATGAAATGAAACAAATTAAACTTAAACTAAGTCATTGTGAAAATTTTTCATTTCTTCAATTAAATTTCTATAATTAAATTATAAATTATAATTAAATGAAAATTTTTCAGTACAATGTAATAAAGATTTAAAAGAATTACATGAAGCAGATTCATGGGGTACCAAATTTATTTTCATATTACCACCAAATAATATTAATAAATTTCGAACTTATTGTTATCTTGCTGGAATGAATAAAGAAGCAAATATTACGGTAAATATTGAATACAACAGTAAAAGTAATAATACGGAAATTATTGCAAGGAAGAAGGATAAATTTCATTTTAAAAATTTTTATAAAGTATGTTACTTTGATTTATTCTTTCTTTTTTATAAATTATTTTTTATTGAATAAATTATTTTTAATTGAACAAATTATTATTATTATTTTTCTTTCTTTGAAGAAAGAAAAGAAAATAAAATTTGATATCTTTATAAATTATATATTACATAAAAATTTATATGAAAATTTGATGGAGAAATAGAGAGAGAGGGAGAGAGAGAGGGAGAGAAAAGAAAAAAAGAAAAAGATTATATTGCAGTACGATTTTCACAACTTAGCAATGGATGACATTGTTCAAGAAGGACTACATATGTTGAAAGATAATCGAATATATGTCACTTCTTCAGATAAAATATCAATTAATTGTCATATATTTGATCTCGAATCTGTTGTTGACCTTCTGACAGGTGATTGTTTATTTTATTTTTTTTTTTTTTGTTTGTCTATTTTTTCATATTTCTAAATTTAACTGATGTTATAGATTTTCTCAATGTAGCCCTAAACGTTGAACAATTTTTTTTTTCGTAAAAATTTTAATCAAATAATTTTGAAAAAATTTGATTGTGTTCTTTTTTTTTTCCAGTTAATTTATGATATTACGTGTTTTTACACGTTTCCGTGTTTTTTTACGTGTTTCATTTTAGTTTATCCAGTGGGAATGGGTGGTGATTATTATGGATTTTCATTACCTGGAAGTAGCACTGTTACAATATATTTGTTACCACTTGAAAGAACAAATGAAACAATATCTGAAACTCATCATATTTCAATAATAGAAAAGCAAAACAATAAATTAAAAACCATAAAACAAAATATGAAAGTTTGTTTAGTAAAAAAAATTTTTTTGTTAATAAAATAAAGTAAATTGTTTAATATAATCGAAAAAATTAATAAATAATACTAATTTAATATGATATTTAAATGTTTTAAATTCTCCAAAAATTAGGAATAAAATAATAGTTCCATTTTGTAAATAAAATATTTTAATTATTATTTTTTTCTTTTTTATTATTATCAATGCATTTTTGCATTTAAGAAGATTGCTGTTTTAAAGTTTAATGAAATTTAATTTTGCTAATTCGAGAATAGTTGCAAATAAGTGTAATTAAATAAAATATGAATTTTATTTTTACAGGCAGGTTCATTATGGCAATTCACAGCATATGTGGAAAAAACGATATCAGTATGGATTCGTGATCAATTGAGTAATACTAATACTACAAAAGTGACAGGTCAAAGGGCATGGAATAATGAAATAGCTCGATTGATGGTTATTGTTTCGATTCGAAATGTTTCGATACAAGGAGTGGCAAAAAAAGATTTTGGATGTTTTATGCCAACTCCAATGATTGTTGATCGTTTGTTTTTTTTTTTTCTTTTAAACTACCATTGAAATATATGTTAAAATAGTATTGTAGTTTAAATTAAAACAAAATTTTTTTATAAATTTTAAATTTCAAGAAATAATCAAAATTTAAATAAAAAAAAATTCTCAAATATAGATAGATAATTGAACATTTTAAATTTTTGAAAGTTACAGGATAATAAATTTTCATTTACCATTTTCGATTTACAGGAAAATAATAACAATAAAGAAATAATTAAATTGTCCGATTTACAGGTAAATGATAAAAATAAAGAAATAATTAATTTGCAGGATGCGCAAGACTAACTATTCCAGCATATTATCCAATGAATAAAGCTTTTGCAAATAATATTTTATTGACAGCGCCATCAAATAATTGTCCAATGGAAAAAGTTGATATTATATTTGCTAAAGTAGATTTATTACCAATGAAATGGAATAAATCACCTGAACCAATCAATGTTAATGAAAAATTTTGTAAGAAATCGCTTGCCATCAAATCGACGTTCGTTTCTTCACTTTTTTTCATTTAAATTAAATTCATTTCTTTTTAATATTTCCATTTAAATTAAATTCATTTCTTCTTAATATTTCCATTTTAATTAAATTCGTCTCCTAACTTTTTCATTTAAATTAAATTCATCTCTTAATTTTTTTATTTTAATTAAACTATTTTCTTAACTTTTCAACTTGAATTAAATGTTGAATTTTTCCAGCTATTATTATAGCTAACAGTTTTATTTCTTTTTTTTTTTTTTTTGCAATATTAATTTTAAATTTATTATTTTAAAACTTCAATCTTTCCCTAGAATGTAATGAATGAGCTAAATAAACTAATTGAAATTTGAGGACTACAAGCATGAATATAATAAATTATGGTGGAAATAAAGGAATGTTTATTCATGAGATTCCGGCATACTCTCAATGGATCAATGATGATATATTTCCGGTTGTCGTACCAGAAGGTTCACATGCCAGTTTACATGTATGCTTTCCATTTTGTAATAAATTATCAAATTATTACCTTTTATCCTTTTGTTGATTTGGTGACAAAATCTTTTACGTTTATTCACGGACAAACGGATAGGGTACAAGCGTAAACACACGTACGCATCTATAAATAGACGCAAATGTGAATTGTTTTTGAAATTTCAGGTGATACTGTCAAATTATAGCGAAAAAGCAGTAAGGAAAAATGTTCAAAATGGTAACGAGGAATTCAGTAATTTTCGTTTTTCCTATTCCGTCACGTCATTAGGCCCTGGTTTTTGGCGTATGCGTGCACAACACGGACGGAAACGTCGATACGTGCCCATAGTTATCATTGAATTCAATAATACTTCTATTGGTTATATTGCTGCTATTAGTCGTATGTGTCACATTTACATTCAGTTTTTTTTTTTGATTTCTTTTTTGAAAATTGTTTAATGACAAAAGAATGCAATGTGAGGAATTTTTGGCGCAAAAGTGCAATCTGCATGATTTCCTTTTTAAGTATCATATTCAAATTCCATACAGTTTCGATCGATTAGCATAATTTAAAATAAAATTCTAACTAATCCGTAAATTTGAAATTTTAAGGTTCTAATTTTTTTAATCTTTTTTGAATTTACTTATTTCATGACAAAAGAATGTAATGTGAGGATTTTTTGGCGCAAAAGTGCATTCTGCTTGATTTCCTTTTTAAGTATCATATTCAAATTCCTTACCGTTTTGATTGTTTATGATAATTCAATCCATTAATTTGAACGTTAATTTCAAATTCTTGCTGGATTATCTTTTTTTTTCTGAAAATTTAAAGTTAAAGAATTAAATAGTCTAAGAATATTGATGATGAAAAATTATGATTTATTATAAAAGAGAATAAGTTAAAGTAATAACTTTAATATTTTATCTAAGGTTACTATTTAGTTGATTGTTACTTACACATTATTATTATTTCATTGTTTTTCTCTAACATTTTTATCTCAAAAATATTAAAAATTTGATTAATTTTCAGTTCCAAGAATTTCACCACCAATATTCACAAAATATTCTCATATCAGTAAGTATCAATATTTCATCCAAGATGATGTTTATATTAAAAAATGAAAGAAATTAGAAGTATTAATTTTTTGATATTATTCTGTTTAAATTCTGATACTTTCATTTTAGTTAATTTGAAAAAGATTAAACCTGAAGCAACAACTTCATTGACAACAACAACTGAAGAAGAATGTTTTGGTATATATTTTCAAAAATTTTTTTTCTCTTTTCTTTTTTTAAAAACATATATTTCACAAATTTACTTATATTTCATGACATGCAGTGATAAGAATAAAGTATTACTGATAACACTAAAAATAGTGATAAGAAAGTTGATAACAATTTGAAACAAATTTATAGTTTTTGAATTTCAGTTGATGCGACAGCTACTGAACCTATAGCGGCGCCTTTAATTGTTGCAACAACGAAAATAACGCAAGGCGCATCCGTCAATATACTTTCAAATAATTTATTCGCAATTTGCATATTTTTCATAGTATGTGCTGAGAGGAAACAATGATATGATAATGATAATAATAGAAACAATGATAATGTAAAAAATCAAATCATTTGAGTGATAATGATAACGGAGATGATAACGAATATGTAAATTTTTTGATAATTTAAAAAATCAAACATTGAAATTCTTTTAATTAATCAAAAAAAATCACACAATTATTGATTAAATATACTGCAATTATGTGATTATTCATTTCATTAAAATAATAAAAAAAAAAAAAAGTAAAATTTACTAAAATGTCATAAAGTATGTTTTCTTGCATGCATACGCTATTAGTTATTATAGCAAAATTTTAACTTCAACTTCAAACATGATTTTTTTTTTTTTTTTAAATTTTAAAATTTTATTTGATATAAACACCATGAATAAAATCAATGAATGTGGTAAAATTCAACGGTAACAGAGCAAAATCACCACCAGCAATGAACAGAGTACCTGAAATATCCTTGAAAAATCCTTGTGATTAGAAACTTTTTGCTAATTCCATTTGGTAAATATATTCCATAATTCCTATTACTTCCAAATCCCTGAAACAGTGGATTTCACTACGATTAACCTTCGTTCTGCGATAATTCTCCTCACCTATTATCCACCGTTTTATCCTATAACAATGGGTTACTAACTTTTCAGCATAGCATTTCCATCTAAAGCTATCTTTGAGAATTAAAATTTAATATTCATTAAGTATTCACCAGTTATAGCATACCCTATCATGCGATGAAATCCGGAAACCATTCATGTGATCTATGTAGTTTATATACTGCAAGATGTGAATTGATCGGTCACATCAAAGCACGTTATCGAAAAAAGGTAATTCCACCTCATTCCTGAACTGGAGTTTTGATAGACTGTTGCGGAACACTGGTCGTAAGACCTGTAAAATAAATCCTATTATTATTTCTAGCCTGCTAAAGTTCATTGTTATGTTTGACTTGCATAGAGCCGGGTTAAATATCAAATTAACAAATAATGAATGACTTCCCATCGTGGTTAGAAATGCTAAAACACAACAAATGAAAATTGCGAAGAGTTATTCATCCTAACTTATACAACATAATCATCTATAGCTTTTAGCCAAATTTCAATTTTTTTTGCAATACTTTTCTACTAACTGAATAACTCTAATGGATACCTGAATGTAGCAGAAGCATTCTTCATTTGAAGCAACATTTTCAACTGATGTTGAAAATCTTATAAATGTTTAATCATCAGTTAACTATTGAAATAATCAACAGGTAGAGAAAGTAAAGAATTATTAATAAACAAGGTTTTAGTTAACATTAACTTATGCTTTTCTCCCCATTGATCTTGCACTCACTCCACATTTCAAAAAATGATCTACTTTAAAGGGATGCTGGAGAAGTTTGATGATTTTGACCTTTTTTATACAAATCATTCATTCATTCTCATAATACCACTATGACAAACCAATTATTAAAATAATACCGGGATGATAAATCAATCATTATTACATAACACGAAACTATATCAAATGATTTTTTTGGAAAACTTTAACACAAATTTAATACCATGTGATATATTCATAAACATACACATAACTGACTCATACATATACACCTAACATACACAAAGTGTAAATGCACCTTATGTACAGGAAAGTATACCTGAAGATATATGGCAAATATTAGCCATTCCAATTGGTGACCTCCTCATCCCTCAAATCTAAATCGAGGAACCATTTTAGTAATATTGTGTAACATTCTCAAGACATATAATGTAATATTCTCGAGAGATTTAATAACATCTTTCAAATTATGGCCTTCAATTGGCGTATAAATATGTTCTATTTTAATTTAGGCGAGTAAATATTGCAGGTTGTATGGAATGTTTTGCTCATAACGATGATTCATTGGTGTCGAGGATATATAAAATCCGATTCGGGAATGGGAGATCTCTTGAAATTTTCACTGTAAACATTATTGGGAACAGGTCATATAGTCTGACAGAACTAATATTCTTAAAAATGCAATATAACCTATGACAACTTCATCGCAACTAATCCAGCAAATGCAATCTTCCATAAGATAGTTGCTTATTTGACTCATCATCATCGTTATGAGCAAAACATTCCATACAAACATAATTTGAAAGATGTTATTAAATCTCTCGAGAATGTTACATTATATGTCTTGAGAATGTTATACAATATTACTATAATGGTTCCTCGATTTAGATTTGAGGGATGAGGAGGTCACCAATTGGAATGGCTAATATTTGCCATATATCTTCAGGTATACTTTCCTGTACATAAGGTGCATTTACACTTTGTGTATGTTAGGTGTATATCCATTTTTGTTGAAACAAATTACATAAAATTAATGCTTAAATTTTAAGCTACTGCCAAGTCCAAAACTTATTTCAACTCTAGTGGGAACTACTTCAAGTCATCTACTATCATAAGATTTTACTGAATAATTTTAAGTTTTTGTGCAATTCTGTAGAGAATTGAAAATTTAATTTTTTCTTAAAATTAAATTTTCGTAATAGGATTTTTTATCAAATTTTAATTAAAATATTCATTAAAGTATTACAATAGAAAAATTGCTACATGCCACAATTGTAAATATGCTTGACTTTACCATAACTTTCTGAAATCATATGAAATGATTTTGGGTAAGTTTATATATTATCTTCTTTAATTAACTGTCATAATACAATGAAATAAATGATTTGTAACTTCGAGTCATTGGTTGAAAATGAAATTTAACTAAACTACAATCAGAAAAAACTATCATCATGTTACACGTCATTACCGCTTTCCTGTATACAATGAAAAAATTTCTCAAATACGGAAGCCACTACTCGCACATGTCACATCTTAAATTGTTGACAGTATCATAATACCGCAATCAGAAAATAGCAGCATTGAATAACACAAATCAACTAATCTTATTTATCCATCAAAATAACATTTGTCACTGACATAATTAACTTTATTAGGTAAGTCAAAATTTAATTAAATGTCATGCACATTAGCTAAGCGTAAAATGGAAATTTAAAAATTACTTTTAAATTTTGCTAATAAGCGAAGAAAATCATATATGAATGAAATTTTGAAATATAGATGAATGAATGAAAGAAAACATAGTACAACAATTTTTATGCATGATATAATGCATAATGTTTGTATGTGTTTTCTTATTCTTTTCATACATCTCCCCGATTGATTGATTCTGTCGGCGGTTATATGCTTGTCTCAAAGGCTAAGCCATGCATGTCTAAGTTCAAATAAACCTATAATGGTGAAACCGCGAACGGCTCATTATAACAGCTATAATGTACTTGATGTTGATTATCCAACGTGGATAACTGTGGCAATTCTAGAGCTAATACATGCACCAAAGCTCCGAATTTTAAACGAGCGCATCTATTAGATTAAAACCAATCGGATTATTAATTTTAATCCGTTAATTGGTGACTCTGAATAGCTATGGCTGATCGCATGGTCTTGTACCGGCGACGTATCTATCAAGTGTCTGCCTTATCAACTTTCGATGGTAGTTTATGTGCCTACCCATGGTTGTAACGGGTAACGGAGAATAAGGGTTCGACTCCGGAGAGGGAACCTGAGAAATGGCTACCACATCCAAGGAAGGCAGAGGCACCCACTCTCAGAATGTGGAGGTAGTGACGAAAAATAACGAGACCGTTCTCTTTGAGGATCGTTCTCTCACACAATCATCCAATCATTTATCAATTTTTATCAACTAACTATCATTCTTCCAATCATTTATCAATCGTTATCAACTAAATGCCATTATTCTCAATCATTTATTAATTTTTATCAACTATCTATCCATTTTCCAATCATTTATCAATTAACTATCGTTCTTTTCAATCATTTATTAATTTTTATCAACTAATCATCTATCTTCCAATCATTTATCAATTTTTATCAACTAACTATCATTCATTTCAATCATTCATCAATTTTTATTAACTAACTGTCATTTATTAATTTTTATCAATTAACTATCACTTTTCCAACCATTTATCAAATTTTATCAACTTATTATCATTCTTTTCCATCATTTATTAGTTTCTATCAACTGATCACTTATCTGCCAATCATTTATCAGTTTTTATCAACTAACTATCACTTACGTTATATTTTAAGTAAATAATGAATCAAAAAAAAAAAAAGGACAGAAAAAGCTGAAATTAGAATTACTGTTTGATGGAATGATTTTTCTAATTAGTGAACTTACAATTCCGAATGAATTTAAGAAAATAAAATGGTTGAATCAAACTTAAACTTTCTTAATATTCCTTCCTGATAACTTCCGGAGTATTTCACTTAAGTTTTCCCAATGAATTTCGAACTGTTTTTGAAAAAAAATTTGTTTACTGAGACAAAATAAACATTTTGAGAACATTTTAATGAATATAATAATAGCTTATCACTTAAATTAACTCAAATTTCATCTATTTAAGGTCATGCAATTTTGCATGCCTTGAAATGCAGTTGTGCTGCATGCACGCTGCATAATCTTTTTTTTTAAAGTTTCTCATCTGATTTTTTAACCAAAGAACTACTTCACTTTAATACAATCATTTGCGAAATGTTTTGAAAACGAAAAAAAAACTACTGAATAACTTAAAATGTTTCTTAAATTGTGTTCCATTGATTAATAATCTATGGAACACAATTTAATTGAATTTAATTAAATTATAAAAAATATAATTTATATGTTTCAATAATTAATGAACAAATGGAAAATTGAAAAAAAAATTTTTGAATTGAAAATTATACAATGCATATTTCAAATACAAATTGCAAGAATTTTCCTTTTGTAATAAAACGTTTGAATTTTTATATTTGATAAATTTAAATTTGTTTTTAATCAATTTTGAAAAAAAATAATCTAACTGAATATAAAGAATAAAACTTCTACGATTTAAAGTAAAACTATAATAATTTTTCAAACAACTTAATCAGTTATTGAGTGATTAAAATTTTGATAAAATTTGTGATAGTTTAAAAAATTAATTTTACAAAAGATACCAATGAGAATGGCAGTAAATTATTTGGTTCAAAATATTATTCGACTAATATTTTAACAAAATTCAAAATTGTTTCTACTTTCATTGTCATATTATATATTAAGATTGAATTCAAATTAAATTTAAAAAGAATGAATTAATATTTTTAAAAAATTTTATTAAAGACGGAAAGAAAATGCATATTCATTTCAATGATATGCCACCTTCCAAGACTTTCTCAAAATAATTATTTAAATTTAATTTTGCATAAAACATAATTACTATCAAATTTCAGTATTATTTGTCGTTTAGTCACTTTAATTGTCACTTAAGCTATTTGAATTCAATTCAATTAGTCTTCCAATTATCATTTCGAACTATTTCATTTATCATTCTAATTTGATTGTGGAAAGCTTTAAATTTGATAAATTTTAAATTTTAATCAACGTTTTTTTTTTTGTAAAATGCCTTTGTGAAGTCGTTTTTTGCCATATTATATTATAGCACAGATAAAATTAAATTTTTTTTTTTTAATTTCTTATTTTACTTCAATAATTGAATTTTGAAAAGATTTCTTATTTTCTATCTTTGAGCAGTATATTTCATTTGTTATTAATATTTTAATTGTTGTTAGATTTGTTCCTTATTTACTTGATCCAATTGTTATTACTTTTTTTTTAAATTTTAATTTGATTTTTTTGTGTTGCAGAAGAATTTGAAAGATCGATTAGAATGCAATTATTTTGGATTTATATTTTAATTTTTATTTAGATGTATCTGCATTCATCTCAAAACATATTGAATTTAGTTCGATTTGTATGAATTTTTAAGCAGTTAAATTTTTGTTATAAGTTTACATCGTTTTTGGTTCGTATGAAATTTTGTTACAATTTCAAAAATTTATTTTATCCCAGCAAATCGATGCTGTATTTTTTTTTTTTTTTAATATTTTTTTCAGCACTGAATAAAACATTAATGCATAAATATTAGTTATAAAATACATATTTACAAAAAGTTAACCCATAATCAAGAACCTGTTGTTCACGCATATACGTTTTTCTTACGTCTAAGCAATCACGTTTAACTAATCGTTTCCACTTAATTAATATTTTCATATGCATTGCAGCATTATTATTTATGTTTATGTTTACTGTTTTGCAAACATTATTTATGTTTATGTTTTACTGTCATTTTTCTCTTTTCAAACGCTTATGTATTCATATTTTACTGTTTAAAATTAATTTGAAATTCGAAAATTAACTAAAACTGAAAGTTGTATTAATTTTAAATTGAATGGAAAAACATTGCATAAAAATAATTTAATAAATAATTCAGAAAACGATAAGTTTGAATTTAGGAAAATACAACAATTTTCAAAAATCAATAATGCATACATTCATAAAAGTACTGAAAATACCAAAAAATTGAATAAAACACTTAGAAATGCAAAATGGAACTAAATTTTATTTTATTGCTAGAAAAAGTGGAAAAATAGAGAAAAATGTAAAAAGCTTGACCTTTGAACCTGGCTATAGTTTTCTAATAGATGAAAAAGTCTCATATAAAGAATAAACAAATAGTTTTTGTTTTGCTAAAGTTAAAAGTAATTTGATATAAAAGTTCTTCAACTTTTATATATGATTGTCTTAATTATCCTTTCTATATTCAATAATTTGACAACAAATGAAAGATTAGTATAAATTTGTAAATTGTTTACATTCACATTAATACTGACATTAATACTGCATATTTTATCAAATTATCACTTTTACTATCTTTTATCAAATTATCACTTTTACTATGTTTTATCAACTTATCACTTTTACCTATTTGCCTTTATAATCTATTTCAGTAATATCAAAAAACAAATAAACTTTTCATTTATTAAATCTTAAATAATTATTAATCAATTTTAATTAGTACTGAAAACATCAAAACGACAAGCCAAACGAGACCATTTTTTTTTTTAAATTAATTAAAATTTTGGGTTAATTTGAAAAGTAAAAAAATATATGATTAAATGAATTTATTCCATCAATTAAAACAAGCATTTTTGCCTAAATTGAAAATATTCAATTCCAAATATTTCCATTCAAATATGCAAATTTTAATTCTGAAATTTCAAAATAAATTTAGAAAGTAAAAATACATTCCGTTCATAAAGGTACGAATAAATTTCCAAAAGGATAGAAAAAAGTTTTCGCTGAAAAGTAACAAAGAAATTTGCATTAGAAATTGTATTATTTATTTCTTTTATGAAATTGTGATTTTTAATTCTTTCTATCGTATCAGATGATAACTATCCAAATTAATTAAATATAAGACAAAAGTTAAAAAATTGTAAAAAGTTTCAGAAAAAATCCCAAAAATTTAAAAAAACAAATTCCCTTCAAAAAAAAAAAAAATTATTCTTGCAAAAGTTAATAAAATAAATTTTTTAGCACCGAGAAAAAAAGACCAATTAAAAAAAGCTTACAAGATAAAATAAAATTTCAAATTTTCCAAATAATATTAGATAAAAATAAGTTAGAAAACTGTGCATTTAAAAAGATTTTCGAAATTTATAAAATGAAAAAGAATGTAAATTTAAGTTGAAAAAAAAAAATTAAATTGAAACTTTTTTTAACAGAATAAAAATGTGCAAATAATTGAATTATATGCGCCCAAAATCAAAAATTCCTTCCAAAATGATTTATTCGAGAAAGAATTATTACCGCCAAAGTCTATCAGAAATTTTAGATTAATTAAAACTATTATATTTTCTTTTTAAACATTTAAATTTTATACTTTCACTAAACATTAAACTATTACAAAGTGATCGTAGTACGTTAAGTATTAAAAAAAAAAAAAAGAAAAACTAATTATGCAAAATTTTAGAAAAATAAATTGAATTTAACTAAAGTATTAATCTTCGACGTATTCTTAGCTAAAAAAAAAAAAGTTAAAAATAAAAGTATTGAAATTTGTCTTTAAAAAAAAAAAAAAGAAAAATGTAGTGAAAAATTTAGAAAGGAAATTGAATTGTAAACTTTTTATTGCAAATTTGTTGAAATAAATCTTCGTTTCAAAAAAAGAAAAAAAAAAAAAAAAAAAAAAACTGATTTTGTTGCTAACTGAATGTGAAAGCTTTAAAAATTGTTTGCATAGCAACCGGAAGTAATAAATATATTTTTATGAATTCTCAATTTCTCAATCAATTTCTAATTTTCAAAGTGATAAAATTTAATAATATGATAAGTTAGCTTACATTAAAATGCAAATGTGAAAGTTTAAGTAAATTTGTTGTCATTCTTTCAATTACTGATATTAAAATTTGAATATGAAAAATTATGCATGAATACTAATTAATTAGTATTTCAATTCTTCTATTTTCCATATTTCGTTTCACTTTTTGCTTAATTTAAAATTGTTGTATATTTGTCTATTCCAGCTTATTTCACATTTTTTAATTTAATTTGCTAAAATTTTTTAGATAATCAATGAATTCCGGTTTTTTTTATTTCGTATCGATTTACTTAATTATCTAAAAAATAATGGAAATTAATCTAATGTAAACTTAAATGAATTATAATTAGTAATATCTTTCTTAATGATAATTTTTCCAGTTCTGTCTTTTTTTTTTAAAGTATTTTGGAGAAATTTTGAATTTAAAGTTTCAGATTTTTAATTTTGTTTTTTTTTTGTTTTTTTTGTTTTTTTTTTTTAGTTTTCATAAATTATAAAATC